AGCAGGAAATAAAAAGGAACTCACCTTGTGGTATAACCGGCAAGAGAGAAAGCCTTTGAGCTCCATACTGTTTCAGAAATAATCCTTGATAATCCATGATATGGCGTTTCATCACGGCAGTATCTGCTACTAGAATCTCCCGCATAAACTCCGCCCCTCTTTTTTTAAAGCTTTATAACCAAAATCAGCACTTTTGAAACAGGAAGTGAAATAGAGGGATATGAGGCATGAATGGGTGATCTGTTTGGTAGCTTGAGCAAAACACTTCATAGACATGTTTTTTATATATTTTTATATATCTGAGACCTATGCTATTGCCTAAAAATAGCATGATAGGTGACCTTTAAAACAGATGCTCTGTAATTCAGTACCGATGACCCAGGTGACATGAGGTTAGGAAGGAAACCCAGTTTGATTATACCCCTGGACCATTAGCATAGCATGGCACGTATATCGACATATCTTCAAAAACTGACTGTAAACTGTGTTACTACTGTCAATTGGTGCTAGATTGAAAAAATTAGTTAACAAAATGATGATAATAATAATGATTATTATATAAAATATATAGCTATTATCTAAATGCAATTTTTGGAGAGAAAAAACAACTACTATGCAAGGTACTCTACAGTATGTGTCTGGGTGGAGGTCGGAGTAAAGGGCGGGGTGGGGATGGAGTGGGACGAGAGGGGGAGGAGGGGGAGGGTGGTTATACAGACACGCTTGTCTTTGATAGCTCAGGTGGTCATCACCTGAGGGGAAAAGAGCGTTAATGGGCATTCTCAGCAGCAGACAAGCACAGGCTAGCGCTCCCTGCTCCCTGGCTGCCATAAACAGGGGGAAGTATGCATCATTAGATTAGGCTGAAGCTAACTACCTGCAGTCAAGCCTTCATCATACAGTAGCTTGGTGTGTGTGTGTGTGTGTGTGTGTGTGTGTGTGTGTGTGTGTGTGTGTGTGTGTGTGTGTGTGTGTGTGTGTGTGTGTGTGTGTGTGTGTGTTTGTGTGTGTGTGTGTGTGTGTGTGTGTGTGTGTGTGTGTGTGTGTGTGTGTGTGTGTGTGTGTGTGTGTGTGTGTGTGTGTGTGTGTGTGTGTGTGTGTGTGTGTGTGTGTGTGTGTGTGTGTGTGTGTGTTACAGACTCAACCTTCAACTGCTCTGTATGATTTGCTGGGTATTGCAAGCCTGGATCTTGAAACACAGGACTGTGATTGGTTTCTTTCCGGAGTGATTACCTGCACCATGGATAGTTATTATTGTAGATTATGTTATGTGTCAACATTTCGATTATAAGTAATTATATTGACAATGGGGTATGATGATTGATCATTGACAGAACACCTCAATTACATTATGAGACAATAAAGTTGGCTGTGAGAACTCAATCAGTGAAAACCCCAATAGGTGAGTTTAGTTAAAGCTAAGATATTGAGTGGATCACATTTTGAACAGAAACAGGGCAATCACAAGGAAATAGTAAGATTAAACATAAAAAAACAACGGGTAGAGAAGTACAGAATGAGCGATCATGTTTGTCTTATCTTCCATGGAAAAAAAGAGAGATGAAGAGTTGAGAAATGCAGAGAGAAAGACGGCAAGAGAGGAATTTGCCTGAGAGGTGAATGAAGGAAGGTATGTAAAGTTGCCTGTCACTTCGAGGCGCCTGATAGCTCTGCTTAGGTGTCATCTTATCTCACTTCAGCAGATATTGCACCATATACCTAATATTCCTTGTTTAGGAATGGGATTGATCAAGCTGCATGCATGGAGAATTTAACCAATCCCTTACAATTGACTTTTTGCCTCCTGTCTGACCTGTGAGAAGGTCAGAGAGGAAGAGATCTCTGTTAGAGATTCAGCCCAGAGGGCATCTACAGAGGAGAGCCAGGCTCATCCCTGCAGCAGTGGATTGACCTGAAGGAAAGATTTCTCCAAGGCTCCCTGGGAGGGAAGATTTACTGGATTCCTAATCACAGGTCGACACTTTGGAAACAGTTTCTCTGACCAATGGGAGAGGAGGCACAGATAATGCGTTGGCTTGTAAACTGCCATTTTGACAGAATGTAATGCCAGACATGTTCGGCATGTGTGACTTTTGACACCACAAACGATGTTTTCCATTTTCTGAATGTACTGTATGGGGTCACTCGAAATAAGGGTTATATGTGAGACTGTAAAGTACGAAATGTGTCAGTATTCGGTCAGTTCACCAATTCAAAGTTGTTTAAATCCATTAAGATGTAGAATTAAGTTACTCAGAAATATTCAGAGGGTCAAAAACGTCATGAAAATGCTCATTCTGTGTGCAACATTTAAAAAAAATACACATTATTAAGTAGTAAGCAGCAGTCTGACAGCTGTCTGTTCCCGACTTCATCTCATTCAAATTCTTGCATTGAGCAGGAGGAGCAGGTGAGGACAGCCTATTAATAACCCCAAAAGTCCCCAAATGTGCATTAAACCCGGTCTGTTACTCTGAAAATACTTGACGTTCTCTCAGAAGCACCAAGCTAAATATTATTATGCAGAATGACCACATCGGACCTAGTCATCCTTCAATAACTGTTTAAAATGTTTAAAGTCAGCAATGGAAATTCAGTTCCTGATTGTTGTTTGTACCACCGTCAATGGGAGGATAGTAGTGGGGTTTGGACAGGTCAGACAGGTAAGTAGAAAATACAATATTTGTCCAATTTTACCGTGAATTTGTATAAACCACGCTCAACTCCAGTCTTCTATCCAAATACAAACAGAGGGAGATCATTTTGTTACAGACAGGAGACCATCCTGCAATCAGATCCCACCAGTCATGACCCCGAATTGGGCCAAAGGGTGTGAAGTGGGGGAGTCAGTGGCCTTTTTGCCCTTTCGTTGCCTCTTCCTCGGACTACATTTTGACATTCATGTTTACCAGACGATTAACCCTTGTTTAAATAATTGTTAATTATCTGATGTTTTGGGTTAGCCTTTATGAGTTTGCCATTTTTGGATTGAGTAAAATGTCCTAAAAACTATGGATGGATTACATTAAATGGCAAAGACATTCATATCCAACTAAAGATGAGTAACTATGATTCTGTATCATAGTTACAGTTGCATTAACATTGTGAGCATCATGCTGCTCAGAGCACAGCAGTGAAGTACTGTAGGGTCACGAGGTGTGTGGCTGTAGACAGTTGAGACCAGGGATACATTTATGCATGCTAGTTAACTTATACATTCCTGTTTAAACATCTAAGAATACAACAAGAAAAAAGCATTGCAAAGTTTATACAAGGCAAACGCTTATGTGGAAGCTTTTACTGTATATACAAACTTTCAATAAATGATAGCCGCCCCTTATAATCTTCAACATCTATACATCATAATTATATTTTCATTTAGTCTCTTTGATGATGATGTGAGTGAGTTATCAGTAGGCCTCTGTACATCAGTAGCTAATATGTAATCCAAACCATTTCTGTTTGTTTAACCTTACCATTTATCCCTTGAATTGCTATAAAAAAAAAATGGGCCTCCCCAATTTAAGCGGTGATATTTCACAATATTCCACAAAATGAATTTGCAAGATGCAACAGGTACTGTACAGCTTTCATGACTGTCTGCATACCAATGTGACCGCAGTCTAACTATTACTCTCTTTATCTCTGCCCCCTCCGGCACCATGCAGGATAGGAAAACCTGTGTTCTCTTTCCCGAAAAAACTCTTCTTTAAAACTTCTGTGAAATATGTATATTTGTTTGTGTTTACCCCTAAAGCAAAGTCTTTTTATGACAGGAATATCATCTATAAAAACCAGCGTGAATACAGGATTCTGAAAGATTGTGTTATGTATTTTATTCTTGAGTGATTAGATATGAAACAGCACAGTACTATCTGCTGTTGTACTGAAACAACACTCAGTTGTGTTCTCTTACGCGCCACCTGAGCACTGGCAGTGTTTTGTTGGAGAGATTGATGCCTGTGTGTTTATCTGTTGTAAACCCTGTGTGGCAGTGCGCAGTTTTATTCTGACTGACAGATGCTCAATATTCGTATTCATAAACACAAGCAGCAATCAGCATAAATCATGTCATTCATTGGACTTTATATGCTTCGAGAAATATTATTTTAACGACAGGTTGATTTGATGTTATTTCTGGCTAATTGTCTAACTTGTCACTGATGCACACGCTTATGACTCACAGGCAACACGCCCAGATAATGGTCTTATTGCAGTGGGAAAGTTCCCAAACTCTTCACAATGACTTGCGGGGAGCTGAGGGAACTGTAAGGATGTTTGCACTCAAGTTGTTTAAGATTTTTCCAATTCAATTCTGAAAAACAGCTTCACCTGACATCAAACCATTTTTCTAGATTACAGCAAAAACAAGAGAAAGAAAATGAGGTCTGATTCCTGTCTGGTTTCCTCCCTGACACAATGTGAACAATGACAAAATAATATGCTGTTTGTGTGTGGGATAGACAATTGTTCATGTTAATGAAAACTACATTTAAACCTACATTTACCCAGATTACAGATAAAAGAAAAGTTTTTATACAACAAATCTGCCACACATCATACATTTAGGTTCAAGATTATAATGTATATTATGATAGGAAATGTATCACAATATGAAAATGTATGTTGACATTGTTAAAGTGGTGTTAATTCACCCATAGGTTTATTAGTGAAGTTGTTGTTAGGTTTTTTTTCCTTTGTAATTTGAGTGAGCCTACATTACGTATTTACCATGTTCAACTATTTAACAGTATAAAAGCTGTTAGATGGACTTATGGACCGATGGAAGGACTCCAAGATACAACTCTACCAGTAAGTCACTCTATATATAATAATAATCTCTCTGTTTGTGTTCTCACCCTATTTTCACCACTTACAACAGGTGCACTTTTTCACAACGTTGGCAGATCACCATGCACCTGCCACATCTGACCTTGAATACACACATAAATGGCTGATCCAGTGCACAGCTATACAACAGACAGCCAACAGACGCCGATCATTTCCAAACAAGATGAAGGCTTCCTTGGTCTTCTTACTGGTAGTCTGCTCTCTTTGCAGGACTGAAGCTGAAGGAGGTGAAAATGAGCTGGTGCTTCAGACTGACGTCTGGGCTGAGCTGAGGGCTTTGAGAGACATGGTGGTGGAGCAGAAAGTAGAGCTGAGGCACCTGACGTTCAGAGTAACCGCTGCTGAGAGCCTGGTGGACGCCTTGGAGAAGGAGAATACAGGTAAACCGTAAGAAAAGACTCACTTCATAACACAATATATGTAGCTGAGTTTACATGATCACTCTGTTACAGCCATGGAGGCCAGGATGACTGCTGCTGAGAGCTTGGCAGAGGAACTGCAGATGGAAAATGACGGTAAACACTTGGCCATCCTTTCATTATAAACAACCATAACATTTGCATTGATTATCTGGCCTGTAAACTGTTATCACCTTTTCTGTAATTTAGCTCAAGCTACAGAGCTTGCAGTTGCTCAGCAGGAGCTCAGCAGTCTGCAGATAAGACTGACCGTCAGTGAGGAACGTGTGGAGGAGCTGGAGAAACAACAGGAAGGTAAATGTTAAAGGTTTATGAACTTTGTGCATGTAGCTACTGTTGTGTCTGTGGCAGAGCAGGAACCTCAAAATAACAGGGTTTTGTGCATGTGCCATGTATTTACCCCATTTATCTGCAGTATTTTTGTGTTGAATAATTGAAGTTTAAATGGACAGTCTTGCACTAATGTACATTTATCAAAGATGTATTTAAGTGACTGTTATTTTGTATATATTGATTGTTGTGCTTTTATTTATGTCTTAATGTGTGCATATGTATAAATGTGTCTGTTGATTGTGTATATATATGTATATACATATTTGTATATACATATGTATTTTGTATTCAGGACTTTTGGAACGGTATTTCGATCTCTCTGTCTGTACACACAAACTGAAAGATTGACAATAAAGTTGACTTTGACTAAACCTTAACAATATGGTTGCACTTTTGTTCTATTTTTCTTTCCCTTAAGTTCAAGCTACAGAGCTTGCAGTCGCTCAGCAGGAGCTCAGCACTCTGGAGCTAAGACTGACCGTCAGTGAGGGCCTCATCATGGAGCTGGAGCAACAGCGGGAAGGTAAAGGTTGAGGTTTTTGTTATCATTTTTGTGACATATTAATTGTGATATGTGTGATATGAATTGTGCGCAAATGGTTATGAATGAGTGGCTCGTGATTTTAGGACAAGAGATGGACATCCAGGAACTTCTAAATACTAACATAGGTAAATCATTGTTTCCTCTCTGTGTTTTGTGCAAAATGTTGTTATATGTCAGTATGTGTACTGTACAGAAAGAACACATTCTGAATTGATTTTGTGTTTTTTACTTTGCCACAGTGAGGAAACTGGCCTTTTCTGCCTCCCTTCTGGCATCTGGTCAGGGTAACACAGAGAAAGAAGATGCTCCACTCCTCTACAAAAATGTATTTACCAACATTGGAAACCACTACAACCCAGACACAGGTATTTGGCTTCTTTTTTTTAAAGAAATTAACCACTTGGTCTAATTCTCCACTTCTATCAGTTGAGACTTTTCTTTCTGTCTGTGTTTAGGTTACTTCACTGCACCAGCAAGAGGAGTGTATTACTTCAGATTTACTGGCCATCTAGCACACTCTAACATATCTATGATAATGAAAATGTTCATGAACGAGGATCTTATAGTGACAGCAGCTGACCGTAACTATGGATCAACAGATGCTGAGGACAATGTATCCAATGGTGTAGTGTTGCAGTTAGAAGTGGGAGATGTTGTTTCAGTACAACTTTGGGGAAATGTTTGGGACGACCAATACCACAGAACAACCTTCAGTGGCTTTCTGCTCTTTCCTTTGTAAGACACTACCATTGCCAACATGAGAGTTAATGCAGGGCCTAAATTGTGTTATTTTACCAAATAACAAATGTGTGTCTCAGTAACAATACAAAGTGCATAAAATAATAAATAAATCAAGTTTGATGAGCTGTGGTCCTCCATTGTTTATGTATTGTTTGTTTTTGGTTAGTCATTTGCCAGCCGAACAGTCAATGTTTGCTGTAGTCTGAGATCATAGGATTATGCCATGTTTTTGCCTTAAATAGATCAAGTTGTTAGAGCATGTGAAGATGATTCAGTCATAAGTCATTGGGCATTAAAAGCTCCCCTCCAGATATTTCTAAGACATTTAAATACACTAATGTGTGTCTTATTTTCAACAAAAAAATGCACTTTCTGTTTTAAGTTGTTCTCTTTCTCCCTTATTGAAAGTTCCAGGTTTCACGAATATGCAAATATTGTTAACCACTGAGTCAATGTTAAGTGTATTCAACTAGAGGCATAACATTTCACATCATACTTGTAAAATGCATATTTGACTTTAATCGGCTTCTGAAGAAGTTTTGTTTACGGTTACTTTAGATGTAAGGTAAGCATGATTACAATCCCAAGGGGAACTTGAACAAAAAAAGACATTGATTGATATACTGCATTTTTCTAAAATGTTAAGCTTTGAGCCTCTCACACTGAAATGTAAGCCTATTTGTATAACATAATGCGTGCATAGTATGTATGACAGATGCTACTGTAGAGGTAGCCTAACTACACCTTATTAGTGAGAATGAGGTCAATCTTTTCAAAACAAAGCCTTCCACAAAGACCCACTTTGGATAAGGTGGACACATTACGTTATGAAACAAAAGGGGGGGGTGGGGGACCCAACAAATTCCTTAGATAAAAGTGGAAGAAAATGACATCTCATGAATGTGATCATTGTTTCCTTTCCTTTGGTGTTTCACATCATAAACCTCCCGGAATGCAGCTGCATCAGAGTTTGAGCTTTGACTAAATCCAGTTAGACTCTTTGTTGTGCAGTCATTCAGATCGCACAGGTACACACACACACACACACACACACGCACGCACGCACGCACGCACGCACGCACGCACGCACGCACGCACGCACACACACACACACACACACACACACACACACACACACACACACACACACACACACACACACATACACTTACACAACGCCACACCTCGGTTATCAGTCATCTACTATGGGTCTGATAACCATAATCAACGCACAACACAAAACCATGTGAGCTAGCCCCTCCATTCACTGTCAGTGTCTGTGGTGAATTCTTTCTCTCTTTCTTTTGCTGCCCTCTACTTTCCCTGTTATGTCCCACAATGCACAGAGAAGACTATCAGCTGAAATTGATCTACAAGCTACTGTATCAGCTGCACTCACAGCAAAACTTCACACCCTCGCTGGCAGATATAACAGTGACACTTTGAAACTGTGGGTAGCATTATCCCATATCTTTGAGGTTTGTCAGTTGTTAAAACACCTTATGTTTTTTAAAAGAAAATGGAGGCCAGTATCAAGCTAAGGCGCTCAAAGGAATAATTCAGCTGTGTTTATGGAAAGAGCCTGGAGTGCATCGGAGACGCGGTGTCTCCTTTGAATCTGATGAGGAGTTTAGATCAGACCTGCAGCTATGGTTCAGCTAAGGAGCGCTGTTAGTCTGATCAAACAGCTGCCAATATGAAAAGGACTGCCATATCCTCTCTGCAGCCGGGGGCTGTGTGAAATGAATACAGCTTCTCTGATTCCCCTCTCACAGGCACCTCTTGGGTTGGAAACATTTTTTCATAATTACATTTAATTCTATGTTGTGTCCCCACAGTGCCACTATTAAGGTTAAGGCTATAAGCTGACGAAGCCTTTCAACCTTTGTTATCAGGGCTTTAGCTCATTTAGAGGTGGTATCATTGATCCGACGCTAAGAACACAAGAAAATAAATACTCGCATCCCTGTTATTTTCAATATTTCAATCATTCCCATGAACACAGTGTCTTTTAATTGACTGTGTGTGATGTTGTGAATTCCCCTTTTGTTTTGGCATAATTTAGTAGTTGATGAATCAGATGGTGTTTTGGATTGGATCTTAGTTATGAGTCTTTAATGAGAGAGGGTATTCTAAATTTGAGAACGTTAGTCATTGTTTCATTAAGGTAGTCTATCATTAGTTTTGACTTCTCCTTGGAAGATTAAGATGTGAAGGCTCCTAAAGCTGTGACAGTGCCAGGAAGGCTGCGTGCCTTCTCTATTTCACTTACAGCTTTTGCAAAAGGATCTATTGAACTGTGAATGTTTTGGTTAGAGCTGAGTTCACCACAAAGGACCCTGTAAAGTAATCACTGAGATGTGTAGACATCTTCTTGGTGGATCAGGATTCTGTTGGTAAACGGACACAAAATCACACAAAAAACAGCCAGGAGGACATTTTAGAAAAGTTGGTGAAAGTGTATATAAACCCTCATGCCTCCACTTGCATTCATGTGATCTCCCACACACAAACACACAACAAGGGCATGACGGTATTTCTTTTGACTTTAAAATGAAAGGACAGATTCATTAAAGGATTATAAAGTCAGCTCTAGAAAAAAGAATCAGCCTTTTCTGAGATTACTATAAAATCTTCACAGATAATAACTAATTATGGGGTAATTTATAACAATAACATTACAGCAATTGCAAAGTAAATACAAAAATCAAGTATTTTGTTCTCATGTTCTCAATGACCTGATTACGGTACATTTGTCTCAGTCTACCCTTTTAAATTAGCACATTTAACACAACTGTTGGCCAATTGTTAATCATTTGTACATGATACCATAACATTTAAATTCAGTCTCATAGGATAATTTGATAGTTAGGCATTACAGCAGTGTATACAGTTGTGTGCATGTGGGAGCCCCCAGTAGGTGCCATTAGTCTTCAACTGTTCTCCAAAAACATGTTAGGTGCAGGCTAAGGCCCCAAGGCTAGCTGAGAGTAAATGTGCATTCCTTTCTGCCTGATTTAAAAGAGAAGTCTCATCTTTTTGTATGCACTTAGTTGATCAGAGATGAGCAGGAGGCATTCCATGATCAAAATCACAACTACAAAAAGGTAGAAGTCATATGACACCTTTGGGAAATGTACCTTTAATGCTGATTTCCTGAAGGTTTGGATGCTTAAGGGAAAGTATGAAAATAGTGTTGAGAGATGAAAGATAAGAGCTGATTTTAGATGTAGTTAAAGACCGTGCTCAAACTAGTGGAATATTTGGCAGCAAATATGTTCTCTATCTTATACACAATTTGTTTACATAAAGAAGAACATTGTGTAGCAATACAAAAGAGCCTGAAATCAGACAGATATCTGCCTTTGCTGCCCATGTGCAGAAGTCTTGGTGCAGGGAACAAACACACAAAGAACCACACACACACACACACACACACACACACACACACACACACACACACACACACACACACACACACACACACACACACACACACACACACACACACACACACACACACACACACACACACACACACACACACACACACACACACACACACACACACACACACATGCTGAGACTCATGCACAAGCACAGGTATGCACACAGAGGGCAGCTCTGAGCCAACAATTCAGTGGAAATGAAGCCCTGCACTGTGGCCAGAGCCTGCAGATGCATATCTGCTCACAACCCTGTTAACACCTGATTGTACTTGCATTCAAATGCTGAACATTGTAATTGACCAGACAACAGATGGGCTGCAAAAGCAAAAACGTAGGAATGTTTTTATAAGCTTAAACTTGAGTCATGTTCAAAATCCCACTAAATAAGCTGCATGGTGAAAGCTAAAAGGTTGGTGACCAAGGTCAGAAGTATGTAACAAAAGGACACTCTCATTGATGCAAGACACCCTAAACAGCCAGACTCAGCCAGTCTCACCCAGTTTAAGACTGCAGTTCAGCTCAAAACCTGGGTCACCAGGTTCTTTACTTATTTTCTTCTTTCTGAATACATTTTCAAAACCTGAAACTTGTTGACTGGAGAATATTTTCAGCAAAAATACTGGAAAGGCTTCTCAATGATCTGCTTGTAATAGTGTGACTTTTAGTTTTTCTGGTTGGAAGGGGAGTCTTTGTGAATGAAGTACATAGCCCTGATCAAAGGACAATGTTACGTTTTGATACTGTTTACATGAGGTTAAGCTAACAAGATACAACGTGGTAATTAATGTGCTTAAGTGCTTTTAGGCAAATTTGGTTAGCTTGGACAGAGCCAGGCTGGCTGTCTTTGTGCTAAGCCGGCTGTAGCCTCATATTTATCTTACAAACATTTAAGTGATATCAATCTTCTCATCTTACTCTTGGCAAGAAAGTGAATAAGCATAGTTGCGTACGGTTATCTAAAGCGTTCCCGTGTATGTATTTATCAAAAATGTCAAACCAATTTTTGAATTTTATTTAACTTGAATGGGAACATCACATGTCTGCAGTTCTACACTGCTGCTGAAATTACTTTTCGTTCCTAGCGGTGGTGCTACCTGACGTCGTCTGATAAAAACTACCTCTTGTAAAGAATCAGCAGCCCGCTTAATGTGAATCAAATACTTTTAGATTTTGTGCGTGAGTTACAACCAAGTTACGTGAGGCGGTTTCATCTGGAAAAAAGACTAAGCAAAATAAAAACAATGACGCAGACTTATTTACCTTGGCTTGGTGCTTATCTAGCTTGATGATATTTGTTAACAGTTGGGTGGCCCTTAAGGTTCCTGAGAGCCAAAACATGGATATACAACGCATGCCTATCTACTGTATGTCAATCTCAGTCAGGCTTTGAAGTTGCAGTTCTGGAAACATTTTGTTTATTATTTTATGTTTGTCCTCGCTTTTCAAATCAAGTCACCATGTTGTTTGTGAGGTATATCAATCTTTCAACAGCAAACAGCTCAGTGAGATTTATCACTTCTGACACAATACATTTTGTTTGTCTGAGTGACGAAATTCATGCCTTACCTGGTGGTTAAGGTGACATTAAGTCATGCATGTGCATTTTCTTCCTGTTCGGTTGTTGTTTAACATGTGGCCTTTTCCTTTTATTGCAAGGCAGTCTATTGAAC